CACGAACTCCCCCCTCACCGCCTCCTCCACTAGGGACCAAGGAGGGCTTTTCAGCACTTGTCTCGGCAGCGTGCAATGGACAGCACCACAAAGACGGATGCTTGACAAAGAACTGACAGCCTTCCCAGGAACCGCCACCACGACTCGGTCAGCATTTTGTGGACTAAACCATTTGGCGTAAACAAGTCGAAGACCCCGAAACACAAAGAGGCTTCTTATTCACCGCTTTAAAACACAACAGACACGATGGAAGAAGACATGGATGAGGGGCAGACCCAGAAGGGTGAGTCGTGACTCTATGTTTACAAGAAATATGCCGACTTTTTTTTTTTTTCAATTTACAGTCGAAGGAGGAGCAGCTGTTTGCTCACTTCTTTTGTGCGTTGAGTGGGAGCACTCGACTGGAGTGCGCACGTCTGCGTGTGTTGTGTTTGGGTCGTCGGAGGGGTGTGAGCCAAGGGGGTGGGGTAGGCTTGAGGGGGCTGCACTCAACTGCCTTTGTTTGTTTGATGAGGTTTCAATGTTATGTACGGCCAAGCCTCCACATTTTAAGCTATCAGAGTCCAACCAATGCCTATTCTGTATTGACTATACAGTATATCTTGAATTGAATTCATACCGTAACCAAGTGTGTAACTCATTTTACTCATATTTTCCCCCCTCGAAATGAATTAAAATACCACCGAACTGTTCCAACTGCTCCACAAAAAACACTCCCCATAAAAAGAAAAAAAAACACTATCATGTTTAAAAAACACGCAGCAAATGAATACATTGTTTTCATTACTGCACACACTGACAGATTCATGTGCATGTGAAAGGCGTGGCCTAGTGAGTGACGTAGGGTTGGCCAGGTTCGTGTGCATATCATCTAGGCCGGAGTTGTAGCTGACAGCAGCCAAAGCCATTGGCAACTGTGGCTCTCCTTGCCCACATGCAAGGGTATTACAGTACCTAAAATGCTCCCCGTTCTCCTTTCACTTCACTCGAGCGGCGGTGTCTCCAAAGTTTGCTTGTACCACACAAAGCAAAAAATTGGACTGAGTGACAGCTTGAATTTGAACAGTGAAAGAGTTGGGGCACCCATAAGTTAAAAAAAAAATGCCACTATATATTACATAATACTGCAAACTGCTACATGAGTGATTCAAGACATGATTCCCGCTTTTTGTTAAATTTAAAGGTCAATTATTTGCGGTTCTTAGAGGTTGCACCCCACCAACAAAATGGCTTTAGATGATGAACCCAACCAACTTTTTGTAGAATCTTTCATCTGTCTGGCACATCTGCTTCTGACTGGTCAACATCATAAAGAATTCGTCAAAGCCCTACAATCTGCCCAAGGTATCTGTTTTTAAATGCCTGAGTTGCTCTTAAATTTCAGGCATGGGTCCTTGAGACGTTTTCATTTTTCCTGTTATGATTAATATGTCGGCCCAATTTCAGGTCGAATATGTCGGCCCAATTTCAGGTCGATTGGTGAAACTGTTGTCGCGGGGCAAAATTTACACACACACAAAAAAAAAAAAAGTCATGAAGTGCTACTGAGTGACTTTGGGGGGTTCACATCATCACATGAGACATTCAGTAGCACCATCTGCAAAGTTAGAAAAAAGCCTCTATTCACGTTTGACCAATCTACAAAAAACTGGGAGGTCAATCAAAACAGTCCACATGAAAAAAGTCTCAAGGACCCCTACCTGCGATTGAGCAGGGTGTTACCCACTAATAATAATAATAATAATAATAATAATAATAATAATAATAATACATTTTATTGATAAGCTAACTATGTTTGAAGCAGCCATCTCTGCCTCATACTGATATTAAAATCCTACAAGGGAGTTTGCCCAAATCAGCCCCCAATCGGAAATAGGTAACCTGCGTGATTTCTGAATTTTGAAATTTGATGATCATGTAATGATGTTGTTAATAACAAGGCATTGGGTGTGACTCCTTCAAGAATCCATGATAGAGTCCCCTTCCCACAAAGTCTATTTATCAGTTACTTTTCACAGCTCCTGTGGCACAAGCTGTACGCTTTGGGTATCTTTAGAACCTCCATTCACCTCCGAGATGGACAATATGAACTGTTGCCATGGAGCTGACCACCAGTAGTCATTACCATCGTCGTCATTACCTCCTCACTCACAGCATGCCACCAGAAGGTGGAAAAGAAAAGCACAAAGAATACAAAAGAGAACGATCCAGAATGAGAAAGTTATCCATGAGCACCCAATATGGGGCATCTTCTGGATTTTCTCAAACACTGCGATAGGCAAGGGGAAGAAACCTCAACTTGGCTCTCTTGCTTGTCATGATTCTTAAGTGTACGCTGAGGCCTTGCACTGCTATTCAGCAAAGCTTTTGCCTCGAACACAAATGCTCATTGGAGCAAAAGAAGCATCCATGCAAGCTGCTCGTGCATTTCGACAAGTCATGTCCATTCTTTTTTAGGAGGCTGGTGGTGAGCACCCAATATGGGGCATCTTCTGGATTTTCTCAAACACTGCGATAGGCAAGGGGAAGAAACCTCAACTTGGCTCTCTTGCTTGTCATGATTCTTAAGTGTACGCTGAGGCCTTGCACTGCTATTCAGCAAAGCTTTTGCCTCGAACACAAATGCTCATTGGAGCAAAAGAAGCATCCATGCAAGCTGCTCGTGCATTTCGACAAGTCATGTCCATTCTTTTTTAGGAGGCTGGTGGTGGTGAGCCAAGGGGGTGGGGTAGGCTTGAGGGGGCTGCACTCAACTGCCTTTGTTTGTTTGATGAGGTTTCAATGTTATGTACGGCCAAGCCTCCACATTTTAAGCTATCAGAGTCCAACCAATGCCTATTCTGTATTGACTATACAGTATATCTTGAATTGAATTCATACCGTAACCAAGTGTGTAACTCATTTTACTCATATTTTCCCCCCTCGAAATGAATTAAAATACCACCGAACTGTTCCAACTGCTCCACAAAAAACACTCCCCATAAAAAGAAAAAAAAACACTATCATGTTTAAAAAACACGCAGCAAATGAATACATTGTTTTCATTACTGCACACACTGACAGATTCATGTGCATGTGAAAGGCGTGGCCTAGTGAGTGACGTAGGGTTGGCCAGGTTCGTGTGCATATCATCTAGGCCGGAGTTGTAGCTGACAGCAGCCAAAGCCATTGGCAACTGTGGCTCTCCTTGCCCACATGCAAGGGTATTACAGTACCTAAAATGCTCCCCGTTCTCCTTTCACTTCACTCGAGCGGCGGTGTCTCCAAAGTTTGCTTGTACCACACAAAGCAAAAAATTGGACTGAGTGACAGCTTGAATTTGAACAGTGAAAGAGTTGGGGCACCCATAAGTTAAAAAAAAAATGCCACTATATATTACATAATACTGCAAACTGCTACATGAGTGATTCAAGACATGATTCCCGCTTTTTGTTAAATTTAAAGGTCAATTATTTGCGGTTCTTAGAGGTTGCACCCCACCAACAAAATGGCTTTAGATGATGAACCCAACCAACTTTTTGTAGAATCTTTCATCTGTCTGGCACATCTGCTTCTGACTGGTCAACATCATAAAGAATTCGTCAAAGCCCTACAATCTGCCCAAGGTATCTGTTTTTAAATGCCTGAGTTGCTCTTAAATTTCAGGCATGGGTCCTTGAGACGTTTTCATTTTTCCTGTTATGATTAATATGTCGGCCCAATTTCAGGTCGAATATGTCGGCCCAATTTCAGGTCGATTGGTGAAACTGTTGTCGCGGGGCAAAATTTACACACACACAAAAAAAAAAAAAAGTCATGAAGTGCTACTGAGTGACTTTGGGGGGTTCACATCATCACATGAGACATTCAGTAGCACCATCTGCAAAGTTAGAAAAAAGCCTCTATTCACGTTTGACCAATCTACAAAAAACTGGGAGGTCAATCAAAACAGTCCACATGAAAAAAGTCTCAAGGACCCCTACCTGCGATTGAGCAGGGTGTTACCCACTAATAATAATAATAATAATAATAATAATAATAATAATAATAATACATTTTATTGATAAGCTAACTATGTTTGAAGCAGCCATCTCTGCCTCATACTGATATTAAAATCCTACAAGGGAGTTTGCCCAAATCAGCCCCCAATCGGAAATAGGTAACCTGCGTGATTTCTGAATTTTGAAATTTGATGATCATGTAATGATGTTGTTAATAACAAGGCATTGGGTGTGACTCCTTCAAGAATCCATGATAGAGTCCCCTTCCCACAAAGTCTATTTATCAGTTACTTTTCACAGCTCCTGTGGAACAAGCTGTACGCTTTGGGTATCTTTAGAACCTCCATTCACCTCCGAGATGGACAATATGAACTGTTGCCATGGAGCTGACCACCAGTAGTCATTACCATCGTCGTCATTACCTCCTCACTCACAGCATGCCACCAGAAGGTGGAAAAGAAAAGCACAAAGAATACAAAAGAGAACGATCCAGAATGAGAAAGTTATCCATGAGCACCCAATATGGGGCATCTTCTGGATTTTCTCAAACACTGCGATAGGCAAGGGGAAGAAACCTCAACTTGGCTCTCTTGCTTGTCATGATTCTTAAGTGTACGCTGAGGCCTTGCACTGCTATTCAGCAAAGCTTTTGCCTCGAACACAAATGCTCATTGGAGCAAAAGAAGCATCCATGCAAGCTGCTCGTGCATTTCGACAAGTCATGTCCATTCTTAGGGGGGGGGGGGCAACACATCTCTTTTCTTACAGATATTGCACTGGATCTGTAAAGCTGATGATTTCACATTCACAAGCAGTGGTGGGAAGTAATGAAGTGCAAATACTTACAACTTTTCAGGTATCATGACATTACTGGGTCAACTGGCCAACGCCCTCTTCTAGTGTGAGATGACTGCTGGTCATGGAAACAAGGAAGCAAACAAATAACGAACAACTCAACGAATGAGCAAAACAAAGGGTCATCAGTACTGTGTAATGAAGTTAAAGTAAACTACAATCTTCAAACAAGTGTTTGGCCTTCCTGCTTCTGCATGGAAGCACAGCGATAGCAAAATAAAAGCATTTAAAATAAACGCCGGAAGCTTATATTACGATTAATTAATTAATTGACAAAGACGAACATGAAGAACATTTTCGACATAATTATAGTTAGTTTAGTTAGCTCTATAAATTCAAGATGTAGTTTCAGTTAGTTTTCTTTTCTTTTCTTTTAAAGCGCTCCTATTTTGAATTTTTAATTATTTTTTATTTTGTTCACAAAAACGTTTTTTTCAAATTGAGTTTT